TCTTCCTGTGCCCTCAGGGAATCATGACTCCCATTATTATTTTTGAAGGGTTTATGTGTCTTGGTTTTCATGCATTGAACAACCTTAATTATACAAATGAACATACACAGGTCTCACAAGATTCATGAGGTGAAACTAAGACCATAATAGTAAGGGGAGGAAATATTAAAGAACACATAGGATATTTATGTGCTTCAACAATGCTATACTGCACCCTGGATATATTATCCCTTCGGTGTTGCCCTTCTGTGAGTGACTGTCCACTTATCTTATAGGTGGGCTTTGGGTCTCTACTTAAATAACATTTTTATGAAAAGAATATACTTTACAAAATACAAGAAGAGTGAAAAGAGTGGCTTATTCTTACATTTTTGAAACTCATCAATCTGTTCATTATCTTTCATTTGGGCATTTAGTTACATTCTTGGCTACTACATGATAATTTCAGTTTCAGCAGCTGTTGGGAATATTGATAAATTGTGAAATTTTATATCTGGGCAAAAACTCTTGTTATTTGCAAGGGGAAGCCAGCCCCTAGCTCATCATTACTGGTCCAGTAGGTGCAATTGTACAGTGATAATAAGTAAAGATTATAGTAAAGTCATAGAGAGCATGAGAGATAAAAAAGAGGGATATTGAAATAATGGAGTCAGACACATTTCACGGTAGCATTGCTCACCTCGGACCCATTTGGTGGTCCACGTGGAGAGAGAGAGAGCTTCTTTAGTGCTAACCAAGGTTTTTATATTCTCTGGGGATATGCAAGCCCCCTAATTACAGGGGAAGACATACATCATAGGAAGGGGTTGTGGTATAGGTAATGGGAGTAGGTGATCTAGGGGTGTCCACGCAATAGGAAGAGGAGGGATTGGGGGTATACATGTGGCAATATGGGTGGATCCTAGAATTAGGATGGCAGCTTAACTTTGGATGTCACAGAGCTGGTTTGACCTGTTCCCTGGCTCAAATTATAGAGACCATTATCAGTAGGGTGTGAACTCCACCTATAGGAACCAAATCAATGATTGTGGGCCTGTCCATTGTCCTTGAACAACAGGGAGCGGGCCCTACCCTGTAGTCTGTCGACTAACTGCCTTCAGGGAGGATGTCTGTAAGCATCTGACCTCCCCCCACAGTTATTGATATACACAGTTCCCAAGAATCAACCATGAACTCATTAGCTGAACCATTGATACTGTAAGCTTGGAGGATTTCCAGAAATTTCTGCTTATGGAGTGTAAATCCTTGTGCCTTGCAAGATTACATGTGACAGGAACCAGCTGTTAGCTTTACAGACTTGCTCATTAAAGCATTACTGAACCTTTATGTTTGGGGCTGGCAGTTCAAATCCACCATATGCCCAAGGGAGAAAGATGAGACTGTTTGTTCTTATAAAGTTTTATAGCCTCGGAAACCCAAAGGGGGAGTTGTACTCTTTCCTAAAGGTCACTATAAGTTGGAATAGACTCAATGGGAGTTAAGTTTTGAATCGTTGGTTATAAGGCTGCAAGGATAATTATGAAGTTTTTTGGTAGCATCATAAAACAACAGATGCCAAGTGAATCAGAGAAATGATCCATACACACACACACACACACACACACACACACACACACA